TTGTAATATTTTACTGTGTATTCATTAAAAGTTTTTATAAGAAATGCGAATTGGTATAATCCGTCTATTCATAGATTTTTAGATAAATAATATTGCTGACGGGTATAACAGACTGCGGAACACTCTAAGAACTTTTCAATCACCGAGCATATCAATAGAAATGAGTCCATTTGATGACTGGCTTGTTGACTCTAAAACTGTGCCATAGAGCAGTGACTTTTCAACTGTGACTAGGAAATATATATAAACGAATATAAACTTTTTTACAGTGCGAATTGGGTATGAATTCCTTTTGCATTGCCAACAACTTCATTTAATCAAAGTTTAATCTGCGAAATGATCCATCGACACCAAAGATGCTGTTATAGTCGTAGCGCTGTCCGGCGGGTCTCAGCTTGTCATCTACGCCGTAGTCTGCCTCCGCCCTTAAGTATTCGCGGTGCTCCTGAAAGGTGTCCCACGTATACTGCTTGAGCTCCTCAATGGTGCCCTGCTCACCACCGAGATGTGTGGGCAAATACCTTTGCGGTATGTGTGGAAACAGCGATTCCAGATTGCTGCCGTGCACCGAGATCTTTTGGGAGGAGGAAGATGGGCCGTATGTGAGAGAACAGCTTTAGCTGGATGGCATACGTACGCGTTCCTGATGCTTGGCGGGCAGCATCGATCGCATCATGTTGAAGCCCACCTCGAAGGCAGGATTGGTGTTTATCATGTGCCTGCCCTTGTCCCGCACAGGCATCGCGTCCTCTGCGAAGACGGACATCTTCTGGAGTGCGCTCGGCGTCAGCTGCATCAGGTGGGCCGGCGTATAGCCGCTAAAGTCCAGTATCATCAGCCAGCCATGGACTACCGCATAGTCGTCGAATTGCAGACTAAACGCGCTCAAAGCATGCGACACGCTCATTATCTCCTCAAAGCTAAAGCTGTCCGGCGCATAGCAGCCGGGCCGCACATAGATGAGGCGGGGTCCATCATCATGCAGGGGGCGCGGCAAACGCAGCCCCACGCTGCGGGCAAGCGAAGGGTTAGAGCAGCTCCCGAAATGCGCCGTTGTGGAACTGTGCCACCGACTCACCCGAGGCGCAGCAGCTCGAGGATACGTTCGCTGTCCACGTCGCGAATGGTGTAAAAGTCGGGAAACTGTGTGCGCAATGTGTAATACCTGTCCAGCTTGGACTTGGCCTTCTCCAGGCTGAATTTGCAGCCGCGCAGGAAGGCCACCAGGAACTGATCATCGCGCCGGGCGCGCAGATGCGGCTGCTGCTCGATCCAGGTGCGCAGTGCCGCGATATCCGCATCCAGGCGCTCGGGCACCTCGTTCAGCTCCTCAATGGCTGCGCGTTGCAGGCTCGCCGCCAGGGGGCGTATTTGTGGCATGCTGTTCAACTTAACCGTTCGATGTCAGCGACGACACTAAATCGGGCTGCAGCATCGATAACTCGATAACTATCAGAACTGATAGCCGAGCCCATTGCAAACGATAAGATTAACTAGCTTAGTTTATGAGTAGCTCCGTTGTAATTGAACTATGCACTTTATGGGGGGCTTGTTAATGCGAATTCATGGCCATATAACTGATTTGCCAAAGCTTCTTATAGCTTTATCTGATAATAAACTAGAAACTTTGCAAGGCCTTTTGATTATGCGTCTAAAAATACAAACTATTTGTGGAATTTTTATGGCTTGACCAAAACAACGAGCTAAGTCCACAAACCATAGCCTAAATATACCCTGTTTGTGAGAACTCTTGCGACCTTGAAGGTTTCTTCGCACCGTAAGCATGTTGGATTAAAATGTGGAACGAACATATCTATAGCATCTATCCATATGTTAACATCTACTTACCCAGCAATTCAAACACAAGCGCATATAATATGTGTGGCCCGGGATATGGACGTTAGTATGCTCAGATCCCTGAAAGAGAGAGCGAAATAAAAAGCAGGTTAGGGTCGGAGAAGTAACAGGAGAGAAGAATAAAATTATTAAGAGAGAGAGGGAGAGTGATAGAGATGCAGGATAGTACAATAGAGTAATAAGAATGCAAGTATGAGAAGATTGGCAACACAAATCGCAATCATGAGAATCGCATAGTAGGGTAATATATAAAAATACGCTTTACTTGTTTACTGTTTTCTGCAGATCAAAAGTACATATACACATACATACCCACACACATACATGCAAACATGACTTGAAGTAAATGTGATCTACTATTAAAAAATCAGTTTCCCATCTCTTAAGGTTAGGGCTCTGCGTGATTCCAGATCCATTCTGGAGTCAAGAAAAAAGTTTTCTTTCATATTTCATAGATGGGTTTTAAACAGACTTTAAAGTTAACTTTATTTGAATAGGTATATGTGTATGTGTGTGTGTGTGTGAGCGCGCGTATGCGGGCATGATGCAGTACATTTAATTGTTTCGCTTCTATTTAACATGTTTTCAAAGTTTCCTCTTCTTTTTTTTGTCGTTTTGCAAATTATGCTATACACAAACTTTCATGTTTTTGTTATCTTAATGCTTTTGTTTGTTGTTTGGCCACGGTAATTGCTGTACTTGTTGTTGTTGTTTTGGCAGTTATCTGCGTACATGTCACACTCACAACAACAAAAAAAAAAACAGCGACAGCTACACTCGCATACAGGTAACACACACATGAATACACACAAAGGTACGACGAATATAATTCGATTGTGCTGTGGTAGACATATTGGCACCAGCGCGAACAACAACAGCTAAAGCAGGCGACAAAAAGCAAAGTGCAAAGCATCAACGCACACATATGCACGTACACACAAGTATGTGCATGTATGTATGTATGCATTTGTATATGTGTGTCTGTAAATACATGTATGTACATAATAAAAGGCAATGCTTTTGAAGACATCTCTTTCTATGCTGTCAATTCCATTTCGTCTTTTGCTTCGCTGTTTGCTTCTGCGCCTCCGCAACCCGCACCCACGTCAAAGGCTATCAATTTTAATGCACGTCGCCTTTTGTGCCAAAAAAACGAGCGAAATGACAACAGCAAGAACAACAAAAACGACAATAACAACAACAACAACAGCGACAGCGACAACGGCCCCAACAAGCAAACAAATAAACGAAAAGCATATGCAGCTGCAGTCGACGTTTGGACAGCGATGCTTTAGATGCGTTAGAATACGTTGCATATACATGTGTATGCATGTATGTATGCATGTACATATGTATACAGAACCTGCTCAGCCGTATTCCAATTGACCTTCAACACAGTTTGTTAATACACGCATAGCATTCATACACATGTGCATATACATATGTATATGTTACATTCTTTAAGAGAAGCTTACAGCTAAGAATATTATAAATGGAATAGAATTTGGCATATATTTTTCTATAATATAAAAATTGTATAATATGTACTTACTTTTTATGGATAAATTAATAAAATGTTGTAAATAAAACTCTTTTAAAAAATTATCTGCTGTCCAAGCATATAGAAATCCATATTCGCCTCCGCATATACCAACAACTTCAAAGGGGTTCTGTCTATTCTGTAAACATATCTATGTATGTACATATGTATGTACATATGCCCACCAAGACATATTATAAAGGCCCTCTGCGCATTTTGATGCCACTTTTGACATTTTGCAGCCTGAATGGAAAAGTTTCCAAAAAAGAAACGAGACTAAAAAAAAAAACATAAATAAATAAAAATACAAAACATGTTCAAGTGACACGCAAGTGCTCGAATACAACAGTTCCACAAACACACAAAGCACATTCCCGTATTCTACATACTCGTAAGTAAGTAAGTACAAATGTCTATTCTATACACTTATTTTCTGTGTGTTTCTTTCCTTTTTATGCCCATTTGCAGATGGACACATTTTTGGTTATGTCATGATAATATAGTACAAAATAATATACTGAATTTCACTAAAGTTTTCTTACGGCTTGTACCATTTTATCAAATTTGTGGGTTAGGGTATTTGGTTTTCGGCATTGTAAACATTCTCTTATTCGCTTCTTACATTCCATTTGAAATTTGTTTTTGTATACATCTGTATGTATTTCGGTGTTTGCCCATTTGGCGCTGTAAACATGCCACCAACAAATTTGGTATTGTAAACAAATTTCAAACTCTGAAACTTATATGCAACTATAGGCAGAGTGTTGAAAGTACTAACCATACAAACATCCATTTCCATCTATACAGAATGGGTCAAATCAGAGGCACTTCGTCCGATGACGTTTCTCTTCTGTAAATTCATGTGCTCAATAAATATATTATACCCTAATAGAGGGTATTATAAATTTGACATGAAATGAGAAGCGCATAGGAAGCCACCCCTAAAGTATATAGTATATCGTAAAGCGCTATAGCCGGATTCTGTCGAATAATGATGCCTTAAATATGACTTCTCTTTTTCACGCCCCTTCAACACGGTTTAAATTTGGTTCTAGAGCCACGAAAAATTCTTTCAGAGTTGGGAATGAAAGCTCTGAAACCAAACCCACGATTCAGTGTCTGATCGAAGCGTTCTTCAGACCAAATGATCGCAGCTGCTAAAATAATTACGGAGATCCGTAACAAGTTATAACCTTATTCAACTATCTACATTTCTCACATTTTTTGTGAATGTGAAGTATGTAGCCTGTACTTATTCCCGTAAGAAACCACAAAAAATTTAGTATTTGCAAAATATGTGGGTATTGAAGATTTTTCGAATTTCGTATCGATGTTATGGAAAATATTAAAGTATCATTAACACAAACTGTTGCTAATGGATTCGTAGAATGTGAAGTTTGTAAATGTAACATAAGTTTAGCATAGTGGAATCGGGATCAGAATATACGATAATAACTGCTTAGATACGGAAAAGAAAGCATATTATAAAAATACTAGATACCCATTATAAGTTGAGAGCCGAGTGCCTGGAGGAGACCTTTAATATTGATTCCATTGAGTTAATATAAAAGTGAATAACGGAGATTGTTAAAGTATCGTATATTTCACAGGATTGTATATGTTTTTAAACAAAACTTTTACAATTTACCAAGCCTTTTGGCTCTCATAAGCGTTTTGACTTTTCTCAAAGGCACAAAGGTATCCCAAAACATGGCATCATTCCTTTTCTTCTCATGATTCGAGTATTTGCCATTTAAATTGCTAAAATAAAAAGGTGCAGTTATATTTAATTGTTGTTTCTTCTGACAATTCATACCTAGCTGCACAGGAAGCGTACCACCAGGCACCACCATGATTGATTGCGCAGTTGCCATTATCCCAAGTATCATTATCGCGATCGAATGTGCTGAATTTCATATTTCTGTGCTAATTCAAGTATTCGCGTGTTGCATTGCCCTCAGCTTTACCCAAGGTGATCAGTCTGTATTGATCGTCCTTGCCAGCGATGGCAAATTGTTCATATTTGTAGTATTTGATGATACCATCAAATCCTTCCATATGTATGTAGAGCTCATGGGGCTGGGCGCTCGTTAAGCGATGAATCCTCTCGAGTCCTAAGAAGAAGTCGCCTCAAAGCTTCCAAAGCAGGCACGGTATGTGGCCCAATCCCTATAGAAGTCCTCTTTGCCATTGATTCGTTGTTGGATAACCGTCCAGCCAGGGCCTGCTGTATCACTATCACAAAGTGCATCGAACGGATCTTTGATAATAATTTTATGAATACCCGGAGCATCAGCAAAGTCGGTGCATTCACTGTAAACGGGCTTATCTTCGCAGCTTTTTCCATTCTTAGCACAAATGTTGATTTCATTTCTGATTTCGGATATTTGTTGGGCCTTTTGATCAATTAGCTTCTTATGTTTCTCCAGCTGCTCTTCATAGTCCTGGATTTTCAAGACATTGGAAGCGAGCTTACCCATTTCCTCTTTGATCGACAAAACGTTCTTCGTTAGCTCTTTAATAGTCTGTTTGTAGAATTCATTCATTGCGTTGGTTCAGCTTTTCCTGCAGTTGCTTGATTTCTCTGTCTTTGCCTTCCATTTTATTGTTATTGTTTTCAATTTCCTCCTTCATCTGATGTATATACTTTAATAATGGTCTCACTGCCTTATAGGTGTACTTTCCACATTCCTCCTCTGCTATTCTGGTTGCCGAACAAGACTGAAAAAAATCCGATTTATTTTCTGCAGTGCACACAAACATTGATAAACAATCTGTTTTTTACCTCATTTTCGCTTAACTCTGTTTCAGCTATGATCAGTATTAGGCTTATAAATATGATATATATAAACGTAACACATTTCATTTTGATAGCACTTTAATTTTTATTTTAATATAAATGCGAATCTCAACTGCACTCAGCACGCCCGTAAATAAACTGAAATGCGGCAATCAGTTGGCAGCTCGTGTGTCAAATATTTCGGTAACTTTTAAGCGATTATCAGTAGGTCGGGAACTCAATATAAATAAACAAAAGGCATGGATCCGGCTTTAAGTGAGCTTCATTGAACTGTTGATAGATTGCAAGTAGGAAAGGAAAGTTCATTTGCTTTGACTGCTGCTCGTTATCAACTCATTTTAACCGAAGCGAAATTCCAAAACCGAACCTAATATTTCCAAAAATTCTTATGTTAAAAAAAATCAAGTAAGGGTACTCTAAGGGAACTCTAGTCAGAATCAGCTCGAAGTCCCGATCAAGAATTTATATTTATATATCCTTTTTGGGATCGTAGATGCTTGTTGCAAGTAGGCTGCCTGTTACATATTTTTGCACAAAAGATATGTAGCCATATTCCGGTAATATAGGTAATATGAATTAGCTAAATCGGAATTAAATACTCTTAAAACGAATATGAAAAAACATCTGTAGTCTCTTTGGGTTAACGTTAATATAACTATATCATTAGTCAAATAAACAATTGGAACCCACCATAAGGGTATAAAGAACCTTGCAGAAGGTATTATAGTTTTGTCATGAAATGGGTAACGCATAGAAAGAGACATTTCCGATCCAAAGTATATATACCTATGTTCTAGATCCGCATCGAGTTGGTATAGCCAAGCCGATCAGTATATTAGCGGATCACTATATTATATTGCTGCCATAGGAAGGATCGGTCGAAAATTAAGTTGTTGTATGGAAACCTTTTGTGTTTTTTAGATATCTTGACCAAGTTCGGCATTTATAAGTTTCACTGTGCTCTCTACATATATGTTAAATCTTATTAAGATCGGTACGCAAAATATTCTGTTTTTCAAGATATTTTCGTCAAACTCAACATTTACCAGCTTCACTGTTCTCACATATCTGGAAAATCGTAGGGCAAATTTCAGGGTAATCAGTCTTCGGCCAAAGATATACTTACTGTCTAGTTAAAGTTTTTAATCAATTTTACAAGCATGCGTAACTATTTGAAATATGCTTATCCCATATCCCATATGAGGTTAAATCACCATTTAACTAATTCCACTATCAACGATTCTTAAATTTTTTGCAAATGTTTCATTTCCTGCGAATGTGAAGTATGTAACCTGTACATTTAGCAAAAGGTGTTAGTATTCACGCTGAGTAATTCGTATGATGGAAAATATGAAAGTATCATTACCACAAACAGCTGATATAACAAAGAAGGTAATGCTTAACTTTAAAATAATAAATTTAAATTTTACTAATTGCACAGTTTCAACATTTAAAGATGGCCAAATCTCGCAAAGAGTCCATTTAATGGAGCAGTATCTTTTACCTTTGGAAGGAAAACTTTGCGCCGCATAGGTAAATCTAACCTAAACCGATTAGATGTTTATTCGACAGCAGACACTTGCTAATAGATTCGCAGAATGTGAAGTTCGTAAATGTAACAAATGTTTAGCATAGTGGAATCAGGCTATTACACTCGAATATCAGGAATATCAGAATATCAGTTAAGAGAGCGCTTCCATTTCGGGGGCTAAGTAACTTTTTAAATACAGTGAACATTTAAAAAAAAATACCCAGACAGGAAAAACTACCATAAAGATACTAATCTGTCGGAAAATAGTGAGAGATATGGCTAAGTATACAAAAGAGGAAGAAGAAAGAAGCTGTTTCACCGAGTTTTTGCAAAATTATTCTGAACACTTCGCCAAAAGAATTGCAAAAGCTGAGAAAAACATACTCAGATAATGTTTTTAATTTATTTCTTTAAAATAAAAATAAATTAATTTATTTTTAAGCTTTTTAATACTTATATATTGGTTATACTTTCTACCAGACAACATTTAAATAAATAAAAAAGAACACATTCGTATAATTCTGCTATGTCTCTGTCAATGCTTGGGACACTTTGGGGAAGACCTAAGTATTTGACGCTAGACAACCAAATATTATTATTATTAAATATATATTTAAACTTTTCTTTCGAATACATTTATTTTAAATAATATCTGTACAGTTTTGCTTAGTATAGTTCACAAGAAAATAAATTTGTTTGCCGTGCCACACATCATTTTTAAAATTAAAATCTGAACAAGTTGTTCCCTGGTGTGGTTCGGGTTCTGGCACGCGAGATCAACTTTTACGATGAGGTAAGAAATTATTTTTGAGCAGGCGAACTGCGGGAACAGATCGGATCGTATGTATATGCGTATATATATATATGTATATACTCATTAAGATGTCTTTCTGCTTGTCATTTGCGTATTTGTCTTCTGTGACAGGTAAATATTGGACGGGTTTGAATTGTTTTAATTATTTAGTGAGTGGAATATCTATTCTAATCGGACAACTTGGACCTATATCTGTTTGATATTTAAATCATATTTTAGGGCAGGGCATGGCCGCAAACGATTCCGAATGGTTCAACTTGCAGATACACTCATTTAATATAAGAGCCCTAAAAAGTTCACACCATCATTCATAATGTTTTTTAAATTTGTCTGTTTGCTTCTCAGCATTTAATTTACAATCAGCGCGAACCTTAATCCAAGTTTACAAATCTAGTTTGGGGCCAGCGTAAACGTGCTCATCATTAGCCTCGTTGTCGCCGGAAGTTTGGACAATGGTGAGTATTTCCAGTAACTTTGAAATATGTAACAATATAACTGCATAATTGGAGCACTTAAAGCAAAGCACAAAAGTATTACGGAAAGTTGGAAAATGTTGCTTACAAAACGAGAATGTGTGAATTCAGGGTTGTGTGCTAATAAAAGAATATGTTGATATCTTGAGACCAAATGCTAAATGTCAAGTAATTAGATAAAGATTAAAATTAAATTAAATTGTAATTTAAATGAACTTCTAATAATAATTAAATGCTATCAAGAGATGGTATCTAGAGACCATATCTTAAATGTAAGGTAATAGGATAAAAATATTAATATAGATTAAAATAATTAAATGCTATTAAAAGAATAGGTTGATATCTTGAGACCATATCCTAAATGTAAAGTATTTGGATACAAATATTAAAGATTACAATAAAATTTAATTATAATATTAACAGTATTTAAATTACCAATTAACAAATACCATAGAAATGATACCATGTAATTAAAGACAGAAAGTCTGTGTTTCTTATGCGATCTTGATCTTGATCTTACGTAGATCTTATGGTTCTATAGAATATTCGTTCTCAAAAAGACAACAGCATTAAAGTTGTGAAATAAATTTGAGGGTTATTTATTTATTTGATTTTTATTTATACCTATAAAATTTAGTCGCTCTTTATCTCTATATATAAAACTGTTTGTCCTGACTGACTGACTGACTGACTGACTGACTGACTGACTGACTGACTGACTGACTGATTGGTGATCAACGCACAGCCCAAACCATAAGAGCTAGGAAGCTGAAATTTTCACTGTAGTTACCTTATGTGATGTAGGTGCACGTTAAGACGGGGTTTCGGGAAATTCCACCCGCAAGTGTGGAAAAATCGCGAAAAACGTTTGTATGTAACTTTTTTGTTTACCATCCGATCGGCCCCAAACTTATTTTCAAAGATCTTTGTTCAAATTCATTTGAGGGGTGTTTCGCACTTTTCGGAAAACCCATTCCTCCTTGGTGGAAATGGAGGTCAAAGATTTGGTGGGTGACGTCTCGCGCTCAAATTCATTTCCAGTGATCTATATGAAAAATCAATTGAGACGTGTTTCTCACTTTTCGCAGAATTCAAATTTCTTCGGGGGGAATGCGATTTAAAGATTTTTTGGGTGGCGTTTTAAGTTGTGTCCGATTTGCTTCAAACTTATTTTTAAAGCTCTTCATAAGAACTTAATAAGTACGTATTTTAGCGATTTGGAAAATTCCACCCGCAACAGTGGTAAATTGGCGGAAAAAGGTTGTATGAAAGTTTTTTGTTTACCATCCGATCGGCCCCAAATTCATATTTAAAGATCTATGTTTAAATTCATTTAAGGGGTGTTACACACTTTTTGAAAAATCCGTTCCTCCTTGGTGGAAATGGAGGTCAAAGATTTGGTGGGTGACGTTTCGCACTCAAATTCATTTCCAGAGATCTATTAGAAAAATCATTTGAGACGTGTTTCACACTTTTCGCAGAATTCAAACTTCTTCGTGGGGAATGCGATTTAAAGATTTTTTGTGCGAAGTTTTAAATTGTGTCCGATTTGCTTCAAACTTATTTTCAAAGCTCTCAATAAGAACTTAATGAATACGTATTTCGACGATTTGGAAAATTCCACCCGCAAGAGTGGTAAATTGGCGGAAAACGGTTGTATCAAAGTTTTTTGTTTACCATCCGATCGGCCCCAAACTAATTTTCAAAGATCTATATTTAAATTCATTTGAGGGGTGTTTCACACTTTTTGAAAAATCCATCCCTCCTTGGTGCAAATGGGGGTCGAAGATTTGGTGGATGACGTTTTGTGTTCAAATTTATTTCCAAAGATCTATAACAAAATCATTAGAGACGTGTTTCACATTTCTCGCAAAATCTAAACTCCTTCGGTGGAAAATGCATTTTTTTAGAATTTTTGGTGAATTTTAAGAGTTTTCCGATTTGCATAAAAGTTGTTTGATTCCCGTCCGATCAGTTTTAAAATCATTTTTAAAGCTTTTTGAAAACATTGATTTTATAACATACGTGCCACGGGCAAGGCCGGGTTATACCCGCTAGTATTATATATTTTAGAAGCTAAGTTTCACATTTGGTGACTCTAGC